GTTAATTTTGTTAGTCTTCGAAAACATTTACTCGTGCTTATTTATTCCAAATTGCACTCAAAATCATGTGATTACCTATACGAACAACTGACTATGTACCAGTGCAGAATGCAAGCATTAGCTTGTTTTCAGTATCGCAAGAAAACAAATCTCTTCGTTATCCATAGTTTAAACAGCTTCATTCTTATCCTACCAACTAGTTTTAAGGTAAGAGCCACTCAATCAGCCTTATTCTGACACTTTGACATTTATCAGTTACCCGACGTTTTTACATTTATTCTTAAAAGTAAAAACGTCGGTCGAGTTACCAGGCTAATTTTAAACTGACGGAAAGTAAAATTATAGTTCGGGTTCACGGGAAGGTCGAGTTAACCGAGTCTGACATAGCGGATAGTAAATGACTGAAAAAATCTAGTCAAATGTAACTTAAAAAGGGACTTTGCTCGAGTCAGCGGGAGGTTTTATAGAGCGGGATTCTACTGTATCTATTGCTCTAAATTGTATATAATTTGCGAAGGCTAGAACATGAATTAGAGTGAAATTTGATAGGCACGAGAAAATTTGCAAAGATAACAACTCTGATTGCAAGAGCCTGTAAAGCGAACGCAGTTTGTAGTCTTTAAAAAATTAGCAAGTGCTTAATTTCATAAAACTGCAAGGGAAATCATTTCATTGCTCTCATTTACATCTTGAAAGCATCACAGAAGGTCAAGATAGACGGAACTTTGACAGCACGCGCGCTATTTGTAACTTGTACTCATTACATAGAAAATACACTCGTTTTTAACCAATGAGACACGCTTTATTGATTTCACTTTAGATAGATAGATAGATAGTTTAGATAGATAGTTTATTAGTATATCGAACATGGCAGTCCGTAGACTGAATTGCGTTACAATTACTTAGAACTAGGAATAAATGAGTTCCAAATACAAATTGAAATTATAATAAAACCATAAATGCGAAAAACTCTCTATATATGACTATGTACAAACTAGTCTAAAAAAAAAANAATGACAACCCTTCGCAGAAACACTTTTCGTGAGCTTGGTTTTTTTACAGACGTAAACATTATAAAAATTGCACCGTTTTAATTGCTCGTTACTCACAGTTTTTTAGCTGGTAAAGAAGATATTAGATGCGAAATTTCTCTTTTTGAGTAGAAAAACATTTCACAAGGGAGCACAGCGAATGAGTGTAATCAAAGTTATCACCTGTTGCAATATAAATCAAGTTATTCAATTTGCTCTCTTTGGAAGTCATACAATCGAAGATTCTTCACCGCAAACAGCTTGTCAACGATATATGGCTTACTAATTTAAGTAGTATGGCGGACTGGGATTAAAAATTTTATGCTCAAGGCGGATGAATCACGTTTCACGGGTAGAGAGTACAAACAGGTTTGCACACTTCTATCGTAGGACTGAATATTTTTCTCTCTTTCTCCGCATTTCTGGGCAATGATGTGATCCCTAGTGCTCTCCACAAATTGACTTCAATCGTGTTAACCTTGTAAGTCACAAGATCATAATTTCTCAAGCAAGACAGAACCCCGTATTGGCAGTTGTCGTTCAAAGTTGTGTATAATCATGATAAATTCTTCCCTAAAAACAGCTCTCCAACACTGACTGGCACACCAAATAGGATGGTGAACTTTACAGACTTCACAGTTGTGGATGGAAATTTAACGTTTCGGACAGAAGAATCGCACTTCATAAACAGAGCTTTAACAGGTCTGCACGCTTTTCTCGTGGGACTGAATATTTTGCTCTCCATCTCCGCATTTCTTGGCAATACTCTGATCCTTATTGCTCTCGACAAAGTGACTTCCATTTATCCACCGACAAAACTTTTGTTTCGATGCCTAGCAGTCTCGGATCTTTGTACTGGTCTCATTTCACAACCGCTCTTTTGTAAAACTCTCACAGGTAGAATAACAAACATTAACCAGAAGCTTTTCGAATACAGCGATTTCCTCAATACTGCCACTTCGAGTACTCTGTGTGCAGTATCTGCCTTAGCATCAACTGCAATAAGTGTGGACAGACTTCTGGCTCTGTTATTGGGACTGAGATACAGACATCTTGACGGTAACATTAAGGCGAGTTCGGGCGGTCATATCATGTTCTTGGTTGCTGAGTTTAGCGTTGGGGGCATTATTTTTACTCGGTGCAATGAGCGTTGAAATCTCCGCAACAACATTCCTCTTCTTACTACTATTGTGTTTACTAGTCACTGCCTTCGCTCACAGCAAAATTTATTTGCTTCTTCGCCATCAACAAAACACACAAATCCACCTCCAGCGAGCACAACAGCTAAACGAAGGAACAATTGCAATGCACATGGCAAGATATAAGAAAACTGTTTCCACTGAAGCATAACTACAGTTGGCATTACTGGTATTTTATCTTCCCTTTATTATTAAGGCTAAGATACTAGTGCTTGGAAAACTATACGACAGTTATGTCGGAAAGGCATGTTTTCGTTCATCACTCACGATTCTTTATTTTAATTCATCTTTCAACCCGATTCTTTATAGCTGGAGGATCAGAGAAGTGAAACAAACAACAAAGAACACGATCAGACAATTAAACTGCTCTTATTTTTCAAACTATGTTTTGCCAGCTCTCTGATTTACCTTCACATTTTGTAGCATTAAAGGCTCTCACTCAAACACATAATTCTACACTGTGCACTTTTACACTTAGAGAAGAAGAGAACGACGTGGAATGGACTGGATCCGAGTCCATATGCTTGATTACTCTGACACAATAACCTAATCTAGAACTGTACTCACGAGGATCAACCACGCACGGTTGCGCAAGATATTACAGAGATTTAGCACCGCATTTACGCGAAACGTGAACGGCAAGAGTGAACACGTGACCTTCTTTTTCCCGCCATTTTTTCAGGTTTGCCAGTTGCGCTTTGCCGTTTCTACGTGAAGGTAACCTGTTTCTGTAACCTAAATCTGAAACAATGAAACGTCACAAAAGGAAGATTCCGACCGCATTCCATTCACTCTCACGTTTCACCCTCACAACCACTCAGTTAAATCCATCATTCTTAAAAATTTTAAATTACTTCAAAACCATCCAGAGACAAGCACTATCTTTTCGCAGCCTCCGCTCATTTCATTCAAACGCGACAAAAACATAGGCAATTTTTTGGTCAGAAGTTCTTTTCAGACTAATGACCAACCAGGCACTTTTAAATGCTCTCGTGCACGATGCAAAACGTGTCCTTTCATTCACAACACTGAGAAAATATCGGGACCCAAACCATCCATTGAGATCACCGATCACTTCACGTGCACCTCCACCAATGTAATCTATTGCATAACTTGCACTTATTGTAAAAAGATTTACATCGGCGAAACAGGCCGAAGACTAGGTGACCGATCCCGAGAACACCTTCGCGACGCGGAGAGGAATGACAAGGACACATCGAAACCAGTCGCTAGACATTTTAATTTACCTAACTATTCTAAGCAACACATGGCAATCTGCGGTCTTTCCTTACACTTGGGCAGCACGGAAAGCCGGAAAACTCTTGAACAAAAGCTCATCTTTCAAACCGGCAGTCTAAATCCCACAGGTATCAACGAACGCTTTTCATTCCACTAATTTATTCGTGTTTTTCTCGTGTGTGTTCTCGCCAATCACGTAGCTCTTTTTTTTCTGCCTTTAAAAGCACACACAACCCACAATTCCCCTATTCGCTCCGACGAAGGGCCAACGCTTGAAACGTCAGCTTTTATAATCGTAACGGTGGCCAATTTACCATCTCAACTTTGTTGATATATTCATATTATTCTGTTTCGCATTTGCCAATGTACGTAAGATTTTCTTCACTTTTTCTTTTACAGAGTAAAGGTTAATCACCGGAAAATGGCACCAAATCTATCTCTTCTAAGTCATTCAGGGGCGCCTCATATCCACCATGACGTGAGCTTACGCGAAGCTAAAGCAACAAGGTTCACACTATTTTACGTGAAACGTGAAAGGGCAAGCTGACGTTTGCCGTTTCACGTGAACGTGGTGCTAAATCTCTACTAATGGATTGACTATCTCGTCGACGATATTGAAAAATTTAGGCACTATTCTTCAACATTTTTAGACACCTTATACGCATGCGCCATCCGTGAAGCAGCTCCTTTACAAGAGGTCCAACAACCTTTCTTAGAAAAGACGCCGTAACAAACGGTTACAATGGAAACTAACAGATACAGTTAGCAGAATAGAAAGTAAAGAGAAATGTTTTTCGTTTCTCATGAGCGTGGGACTAAGTAATATTTTCATTTTCCACGAAGAAACGATTTTCAGGCCTTCAGAACTTGCGCTCTGACGCTCCATCAATGAGCCACAGAGACCCTATGATACCCAAGCGTATTACAAAGTTCAACTGATAAAAATATTGGTTGTCGGCAAATTTGGTGTGTCATTCATACAGAGAAACTTTATTTCAAATTCTTAGCTCATTTTTCTGAAAAGGTCAAGAATTGCTTAACATAATCTCCTTTACCAAAAACTATCAAGGATCTCTGGGCAGAAGAGCTCTGCACATGTGTTTTGTACTTTGTACACTTCCTGCCTTCCAAACAACGAAACAAAAACAACTTCAAAACAACAAATTTTGCGTAGTCGGAGAACCAGAGCCGTGACGGTAAATCATTCACTTTTCCACTTTAAATTCAACTCTACATTCATATGGGTTGCTGAAGGTAAGTTACGGCTACACTAGAGACGGTTAACATGTCAAGCTACAAAGATGAACATAGTACTGGCAAATAAAAGTCAAACAATGAAAAGCCAGCGGTCAGTTTGCTAGAAGACCTCGAAGAGAGAAAGGGGGGGATCCTGGAAACGAGGTAGGGTGCTGAAACGAGACAACATTTGTCCGGGGAAAGAGACAGGCTGAGATCTACACTAAATGATTCGTTCCCACGTTCCAGGGTGTCCATGAACTGAATGCCAGTCTTTAGATCATCTTTTCAAAGTATCAAACAGACAGGACTCTTGGACTAATAGTATAGAATGGACTAAGAGATCAAAAGGAAGAAAGTTGCAGTTGTCCTTGGTGAGGTTCACATGAAGTGCTTGGAAAGTTTGGCTGTTCTGTAATCAACCCGAAGTTGTACAAACTGTTGTAGAACAGCTTTGTCCAGCGTTGCCTAAATCAAAACAGAAGAAATAGCGGTAAGTTTGATGTACTGTATTCAAATAATGGTTGGGCATCGAGCTTCCTCCCAATGGAGGAGTATATCCTGCAGAAACCATAAAAATCTATCTCCGTCTTTAAAGAGCGAATTCAAAAAATTCCCTCCTTACCAAGTTTAAGAGATTCCCGAAGGGTGACTTAAACGTTCGAAACTGCCTTCAAATGAGCTGAAAAGTCAACTATTAACACTACCATTACCCTTAACCTACCTCTGAAGTTAAAAGCAAAAACTAAACGGGCTTCAGGAGGACATATCAGAAGGGTTATGCGAATTTTTTTAAACCAAATCGAAAACAGCGTTGTTCATTCACATTCTTACCAATTGCTCCTCTGAACAGACTTGTTTCAGGTTTTCTGGTTGGACGACTAACAAGTTGGTGAGCGAGTATAACTTGTCGAATAATTTGACTAGCAGGGGGATCTGACGAAAAGTAAAAAGGATCAAAATTGGCATTAACTACACAGGGCTAGGTTGTTCAAAACGAAATTAAGTAAAACTAATCAATAGAGGGTAAATGTGAAGTTTTGAGTTAGTTTAGCAGCTTCGCACACAGCCCCACAATTTCGTTCCAGTTATCTTCGTTCAGATTTCTCTCTCGATAAAGCCCCTTCCCCTCCCTCCTCTCCCCCAAAAAAAGTAACTGCCCATAACCCTTTTAAACACAAGGAATCGAAATCAAGTCCTAAGTTTACTCCTGGTTTAGCCCTTACTGTCGTTCAAGAGGGTAGAATTAAAAAAAGCGCATTCGACTGCACAATGCTATATAAAATTATATGTCAGGGCAACAGCTCTCCTCAAAAACAGTCATTCTTTGAGGTGTGGAAGGCTAAGAACACTGTAGTGGCCAGAGATTAAGGCGTCAAAATTCAGATCGAGTAGTCGCTGTGTACGTTTTTGACAAGGTAGTTAAATTACCCTCACTTCAATCAAGAGAATAAATGAGGTCAGAAAAGCAAACAAACTAACAACCGCGCGAATATTCTGAATTACCTCGAACTTCTTCATAATGCTCCTGTACTCGCTTATATCGCATATCGCCACCATTCCTCCTAAAAAAACACACGACAATGAACACAAAGCTATCTACAGTAACCATGAAGAGTGTGTGTGTGCGTGCGTGTGTGTATGTGTGAGAGAGAGAGACCTCGGAGCGTGTGAAGCGTGCTTACCGAGCTCAGAGAAGCGTGAAACGAGAATACGTGAAACGAAACGAGCATAAAACAAACAATGTATACCTATTGATGTGTATTGAAACTGTTGCAGATGTTCAAACACCTGGCGGTGAATTCGTGTGCCAAATTCAGTGAGAACGGACTCCAAGTTCTTTCCATCCATCGACTCCCGGATGAAGGTCAACTGAGAATAGATGAATTCACAAGTCTTGGCACACGCCTGTCAATATAGATTAAATAAACGTCAATAACATACGAGCAGATCAGATAAAACGTACCGCATTTAAATATAGATCCTTTTCATTGTCGAAAAAGAAGTACCAAAGATGTGAAAACAAAGACGTTTGCACCAAGGGAGACTGACAATCACTTTTTTTTCATTCTGTTGCAAAGTTTGACCTCATTCACACAATCTGCAGATCGCTGAATCGGACTTGATGCAATCAAACCACACGGGTGTCTAGAGAACAATGTGAAGGAACGTTTTAAGGAGCGGCACGACCAACAAAACCTCACTACTCTCCAATCCCAAAGATCAAATTGTATTTCACACGAATGGAAATGAGTGCATACGTCTGAAACACCATAACCCTTAACACTGTAACATCATTCTGCATATTCTCCAAACTGTTCTCTCTACATATCCTATGGTGCTGACAAGAATTGGGTTTACAAACGAGAACGAATTCAATTTGTCATCATTTCCTTTATTCTCGTGACCTTTTTAAGGTGATGTTGTTAGCAGAAATAAGAAGCCAGTCACTC